ACTGGCCATCGATGGCAGACTCCAGCGCCTGTGGGATAGGTATAACTGACTCTTGTAACTCGCTACTGTGTGTGTGCATGTGTGTGCGGGGGGGGACCAACCCCAAGGTTTATGATTTGACTTCTTTACAGTGTTTCAATCCACCTAATAAACCAGAATTTTAAGGATCCCGAGTTGGGCATTTGTAGCCAACATTGGGAGCCCCCAGGACCAAGGGTCATGCATGAGAAGGAGGATGTTCAGGCTCACTGCTCATACTGGGATGACCCTGCTGCAGGCTGCAAAGTCCCTGGGCTCATGACCCTGGGATTTGCGATGGAGCTGCCAGGCTCATGGGGCTAGAGATTGTGAGAGATGTCTGGGGAGCACGCAGCTGGTCGAAAGACCCAGAGCCCCCATCATTGCTGATCAGTCCTGGAACAGCAGCACTTGTCTCTGTGTAGTGGCTTTTAGAACAGTCCCCAGCTCCATGCCCAGGTGACCTTGTCTGTGACTGCCCTGCATCCCCTGTCTGCTGCGTGTAACCTGAAATAAAGAGGTCTGAGGTTAACCCTGTGTGGCTAATGATCATCAGTGGGTCTATGCCACAAACACAAGCCTGGGTTGTGGGCCTTTTATCTGATCCTGATACAACACAAATGCTGAGTTGTTTCCAGTAGCCACTTGCACCACAGCTGAGTTGTGCACCCCTGACCAGGCTGCCTAGCTGCAGCAGTGCCTTGTGGCGGCATCTGGACACCTGTCCCATGGTGCCCCAGGGAAACTGAGTGCCTGGAGGATAGGTCCACAGGTGATGGTGGCTGCAGCACATGAGGCAGTGGCCCCTGCAGTGTCCTACCACACTGAGTGCTGGGAGGGAGGCTCAGATGAGCTGGAGTCAACCGCAGTCCTGAGGAGCTTGCTTTGCACTCCCCATGGCTGTAAAATGCAAGCTGAGCCACAGCTGGTGCTGGCCCTCCAGAATGTGCTGGACATGGATGGCCCAGATCACCCACGGGGGCACAATAACACATTTCTACATCCAGGCAGGAGGGGGCCACTGCATGGGCTTCTGAAGAAAAGGGCACTCTAGGCTCACAGGGAATTACAGGAGGACAGGCTGCCCATGGGCTTGGAGCCAAGCGAGACAGCATTTGAAGGCAGCTGCAGCCCCAGGATTTGAGAGCACAGAGGTGGGGGTCTGAAAGGTATTCGCAGGAAGACAGTGGGTGGGACCCCAACCAGTAGGGCTGTGCGAAACGGCACCATTCCATTTCGATGTCCATTTCGACGTTTCGATGGGACAGTGTTTCGCTTTGAGCTTCACTTCATTTCAAAACCACTGTTCCATTTTGTTTCATTGAAACTGTTTTGCTGTTTCCACGCTGTTTCGACATTTTGACCATAGGCTATAATGGGGAAGCACAGAACTGCCTATAACTTTGTCATTTCTTTCCTGATTCAGATGAAACATGCAGGGATGGTAGGTAACCCCTTCTGAGGCCATGCAGCCTGCCAAGTTTCTAGGAGATAGGTGCAGGGGTTTCTGGGAAACTGCAACTCAAAGTCTTGAAACCAAAACTCATGTCACTTGTAAGTGTGAAGGCACAGGGGAGTGAAAACTGCAGGGATGGTAGCTCCTGCTGAGGCCACAAAGACTGACAAGTTTCAAGGAGATAGGTGAAGGGGTTTAGGGCAAACTGCACCTCAAGCTGCTGACAAGCAAAACAGCTGTCACGTGTGTGTTAAGACACAGCAGGCTGCAAACTGCAGGCATGTTAGGCACTGCTGAGGCCACAAAGTCTGCCAGCTTTCAAGGAGATAGGTGGAGGGGCTTCTGGGAAACTGCACCTCAAGCTGCTGATAAGCAAAACTCGTGACATGGATGACACTGTAGATGTGTTAAGGTGCACCCTCACTGGCGCTGAGGCCTCTACATGACACGTTAGTGTGCCCCAATGAGGCCTTCTCCTCCTCCCCTACAGCCTTAGGCTAGTCTACCGCTTTAAATGACAACAGGTAGTAAAATAACTTAGTGAGCACTAGCACATTAGCACCAGCAGCATCTCAGGCAGCCAAACTGTGACAGATACGGGTGTGCAAAGCGGGTCCTATTTGATTCGGATTTGGATTCAGCCTGAATTAGGGACACTGATATGATTCATTGATTCGGATCCCTGTCCCTGATTTGATTTGGCCGAATCCAAATCTGAAGATTCGATGCTGATTCGGAGAATCAACGATTCGGACATAGACACAGCTTTAAAGGTTTTTTCGACGTACCTTGAAGTAGCAGGCGTGGCTCATGATGGCTGCGATGCTGGGGCACACGGAGTATCCCACAGGAGTGAGGGGGAGCCTCCACATGCTCATAGGCGAATCTGGAAGTGGATCAGAATTAATTCCGGTCCACTCCTGGGTCTGCCTGGGAGCACCCTGCCCCCTCCCCCCCACCCCCGCACATCCCCGGCTCGTCAATCGGACACATGAGGACCCCAGGTGACCCTTGCCCCCCCACACCCAGGAGGCACCAGTCACTGAGCACACTCTGTGGTGGACCTGGAAGTAAACCAGAAGTGCTTCTGGTCCACTGCCAGATCTGCTGCTGAGCACGCTAGAGAGCTACCTGCACTCCTGTGGGACACTCCATGCAGCCCAGCATCGCAGTATTCATGAGCCCCCTGCTACCTAGAGTATGTAGAAAAAACACTTAAAGCTGTCTCTATGTCCAAATCTCCAATTCTTTCCTAATCTCTCCAAATCAATTCGGAGTGTTCCAATTTGTTTCAGAGAGATTAAAGGGTCCTCTGATTCGATTTGGATTTGGAGATTTGGCCACTGAATCAGGCCAAATCTCTGCTGAATCAAATCAGGGACCAGAGCTTCACACAGCCGTAGTGACAGAGCCTTTCTTTCCTCTCCTGCAGGAGCTTCTTCTCCAGCATGTGTGTTAAGGTGCACCCTCACTGTGTGTGTGTGTGTGTGTGTGTGTGTGTGTGTGTGTGTGTGTGTGTTGAGGTGCACCCTCACTGGCACTGTGGCATCTACACGACATGGTAGTGTGCCCCAATGAGGCCTCCTCCTCCCCTACAGCCTCAGCTTGATCCACCTCTTTAAATGACAACAGGTAATAACTTAGTAAGCAGCACAGTAGCACCAGCAGCATCTCAGACAGCCAAACTGTGACAGATAGGGGTGTGCAAAGCGGGCCCTATTCGATTCGGATTCGGATTCGGCCTGAATTAGGGACAGTGATTCGATTCGTTGATTCGGGTCACTGTCCCTGATTCGATTTGGCCAATTCTGAATCTGAAGATTCGATGCTGATTCGGAGAATCGGTGATTTGGACACAGACACAGCTTTAAAAGTTGTTTCTACATACCTTGAAGTAGCAGGCATGGCTCGTGACTGCTACAATGCTGGGGTGCATAGAGTGTCCCACAGGAGTGCAGGGGGCCCTCCACGTGCTCGGTGGTGAATCCGGAAGTGGACCAGAAGTAATTCCAGTCACTTCTGGGTCTGCCTGGGAATGCGCTGGGAGGCCCCCTCTCCCCACACACCTCCCCAGCTCTCCCCAGCTGTGGCAATCGACCACAGGGGGACCTAAGGTGCCCCACTCTCAGACCGAGGAGGCACCAGTCAATGAGCCGGGGGCCCAGCATTGCAGTATTCATGAGCCCCTGCTACCTAGAGTATGTAGAAAAAACATATAAATCTGTCTCTATGTCCAAATCTCCAAATCTCTCTGAATTGATTTGGAGTGCTCCAATTCCATTTGGAGAGATAAATGGGTCCTCTGATTCGATTTGGATTCAGGGATTCAGCCACCGTATCGGGCCCAATCTCTGTCAAATCCAATCAGCGACTGAAGCTCTGCACAGCCCTAGTGACAGAGCTTTTCTTTCCTCTCCTGCAGGAGCTTCTTCTCCAGTGCGTGTGTTAAGGTGAGCCCATACTATGTGTGTGTGTTAAGGTGCGCCTTCACTGGCTGGGGCCTCTACACGACACGGTAGTGTGCCCCAATGAGGTCTCCTCCTCCCCTACAGCCTCAGCTTGGTCCACCATTTTTAATGACAACGGGTAAGCAGTAAGGCTGCGCAAAATTTCACCGGCAGTTTCATTTCACTGATGTTTCGGCTCGTTTTGAGCTCGGAACAGTGAAAGCAAAACGAAGCAGAGAGCTTCGAAACAGCCTCGAAACAAAACAAAGCAAGTTGAAACGTTTCAAAATGTTCAAAACTCAAAGCTCAAACTGGGCTTTCCTGCAGGGAAACAGAAACTACAGTAGGGAGAGGGAGGGGGAAGAGTGGGGAAGGTAGGAGAAGGAGTGCTCTCATTATTGACTGTGTAGTTGGCCAGTGACTGTCATCCTTCCCTGAGGTCCCTTCCAATCGCAGTGCTCTGAGGGAGGGATGGAAAAACTACATAAAAGGCAGCATTGTTTGAACTACCCTGCTTTCTGCCTTGGTGTCATTTGAGTGAGGGTGCGCCTTAACACACACACACTGTCACCCACCCATGTCATGAGTTTTGCCTGTCAGCAGCCAGAGGTGCAGGGCTCTAGAACCCAGAAGCCCCTGCACCTATCTCCTTGAAACCTGGCAGGTTGCGTGGCCTCAGCGGGGGCTAGCATGCCTGCAGTTTTCACCCTGTTGTGCCTTAACACACACAGGGTCACCCATGTCACAAGTTTTGCTTGTCCACAGTTTGAGGTGCAGTTTCCCCCAAACCCCTGCACCTATCCCCTTGAAACTTGGCAGGCTTTGTGGCCTCAGCAGGGGCTAGCAAGCTTGCAGTTTTGACCCCGCTGTGGCTTAAGACATACACATGACATGAGTTTTGCTTTCAAGACTTTGAGGAGAGGCTGGCATGCAATGCGGGCAAGAAAGCCAGTCAGTGAAAATGGAAATGGAGGCGTTGGATGGCTAGGGTAGAAAAGGGGGTGGAAAAGGGGGTGATGGACAGGCTAGGGTGCTGGGGGAGAAGGGGGATGTAGCAGCGCAGGTAAAAGTGGAGAGGTACCTGGGGAGTCAGATGTCCGGCAGGTTGTAATGTGTCACAATTCTAATGTCCATATTGAGTCCATCAGTTTCTGTACCTGCTGACAAAGGAGGCTGAAGAAATGAAGTTCATAGGCCCGGCTCCGAAAAGTGGTTTGTAAATTCAAACAAGCACCTAACCTCATCAGCAGAAGACAACTTCCTATAGCTCAAAACACAAAACCTGCCAACAATCTCCCATACCCCCACAAACTGCACACACGACTCTATCAAAGACAACAATACCCAACTGCCTGTGGGAACACATTTCTCACAAAAAAACATTCTGTCTCCAGTCTCTCAGGCTGGATCCTGAAAGGGAATTTACAAACCACTTTTCACAGCCGGGCCTATGAACGTCACTTCATCAGCCTCCTAGGTACAGAAACTCATGGACTCAATATAGACATTAGAATTGTGTCCTTCCCCCTTCCACACCCCCACCACCCCACCCTGTCCCTCACCCCCTGGCACCCCCACTTCCATTTTCACTGACTGGCTTTCTTGCCTGCTTTGCATGCCAGCCACTGGCTTCTTTACTAGTCCTTCCGTCCACGAACAGCATATGCACGCACAGACCAACTGCAGGTGCTTCCTCAGCCTAACAAAGGCTTTTTCAACTCAGAAGCTGGCATCCCAGGCAGGTAAGCTGAGCTCACCAGGAGCCTCACAATTCCACTGCAACCAGCAGGCCTCGGGCCTGCCAAAGACACGAGGGGTCTGGGCTTTCCCCAGCCAGGACTGTGTGTGCATGTGTGATAGCTGGAGGTTATGGCATCTCCTACCCACCTTTCACTAGGGGGATCCTTGTTCCTGCAGTTTCCTGGGGCTGCAGCACCTCCAGCAGTCCAACAGGCCTCCCGACCCTGGCAGGGTGCAGTTTTAGTGGTCATGCCCAGGACCTGGGACCTCTTCCTTCCCCATAGCCCCAGCCCATACCTCCACGTTTGTCCTGGCACGGAAGCTCAGCAGGGACATGTTCTTCCCCTGCTGGCTGGTGATTCAGTGAGTGGCCCCTCCAGCTCTGAGAGCGGGGCATTAACTGGCTTTTTAAAAACGAAAAAAGGAAATAGGTGCGGACAGAGTGCGGAGGGCGCCATTCACTCCGTCTCCACCTTGAGCTTGAGGAACCCCAGCAGCGGGAGGTTCACTTTGAGGAACACCCGTTGCTCCACCAAACCAAGATCCAAGCAAGTGCTACCTCCCCAGCAATGCTGAACACCCTCTCACTCGACACACTGCTCGGTGGACAGGACAGGTGTTCGTGGGCAACTGTGGCCACATCTGGCCACATCTGGCTGCGGCTTACCCAGTAGGCCAAGGGGTCGCACAGCAGTGGCTCCACATCCTCAGCAAGATAGACAGCCACCAAGCCCTGAATACTACCTGCCTGATGGTGGGGTCTGGTGCCTCTGGGCCCCACCATGGAAGCCAAGCCCTTGTCCACATTGGCAGCACCTGTGGTGGAGGAGGAGACTGGCTGGCGGATGGCGTGCTAGCATGGGACAGTGGATTCCTCTCTTCCACGTCCCCCTGCTTCCACCATTCTGCCTCCCTGACTCTTTTCCCCAGCACCTCCATCCACTGATTCAGGGTTTGGCTGCTGCATACGCTGCCCTTCCCCCCCTCCCTTCACCCTCAGCTCACACGTGGCAGCCAGCATGTGGACCGCACTGGACCGCAAGGGATGAAGCCATTCCCTGATGTCCTCCTTCAGCCACCTCACCAGTGCCTGGACGTCTGGTGACAGTGGCTTGGCCCAGCCAGGAACATTGATCCCCTGGAAGCTCTCCATTTGGCTCTCAAGTTCCCTCGCTATGGGGCTCACCTGGCTAAGGAAGGCATCAGCAGTGCTGAGGGTCTCGGTGGCCTTCAGGAAGCTCTCGAGGACCACCAAGATTTGGGAGATGGTATCTCACTCAGCTTCGTTAAGGGGGCCACTGATCCCAATCTCCCCGAGCAAGGCCATCTCATGGATGGCCCTCTGTTGCCCCCCCAGCCTCTCAAGCATCAGGCATGCGGAGTTTCACTGAGTCTCCACATCCTGCATGATTTTGTGCTGTGGGATGTTTGGCTCTGCTTGTTTGTCCTGCAGCATCTTGCCCCCCCTTGACGCTCCGATGGAAGTAGCCTGTCACCTTCCTGCATTTGGAAATGAGCTTGCTGGTGATACGGCCCTGTCATCGGCGCTGTTGGTGCGTGCTGGGAACTGTCAACTCTGCAGGCTGCACTGCTGTGCAAAGCTGAGGGGATCCAGATCATGGGGCTCTTGGTGCCCTTGGAAAGCTGGCTGTGCCCCTGTGTCCCCACCAGCGCACGTGCATGTGAGCAGGGCCCAGTTCAAGTAGCTCTGGACACAGCATCGAGCTGGCCCAGGCTGCCCCACCTCCCTGCACTCGGCACTGCCAGGGTGCAAAGCAGGGACCTGTGGCTGTCTCAGGGAAGGGCATTGTGCCTGACTGATCTCAGCTGGGTGCTTGTGGCTGACTGCATCCTCTTCTGTGCTTGCAGCTTCCACTTCCAGCCACAGCAACGCAGAATGGCGTGTGCTGGCACGGGAGAGCAGGAACTCAAACTGGTCAGACAAACAGCAGGGAAAGTCCAGCCTAGATTGCCTCACGCTCCCCCCTCCCTCTCCCCCCAGCTGCAGCTCTGGCAGTCCCTGCTCCCCGGTTTCGTTTCTGGCAGTCTGGAAAGCGAAACCTAGGGGCTGTGAAACTGAACCCATGCTTATCGTGCTGCTGTAAAAAAAAACACAACACTGCTTAAGGTGGCCGTGGGAATGCAGCCAGTACCGTGAAACCGGTCCTGTGCTCTGGGGCCCTTCCCGCCGCCGTGGGAATGCAGCCAGTACCGTGAAACCGGTCCTGTGCTCTGGGGCCCTTGCCGCCGCTGGGCCCAGGATGCGGGCTGCTCAGCACAGCACCCTCAGCTCCTGCAGCACCGGGGCTTGCAACACTGCCCTGTGCAGGGCAAGAGGGGATGGGCAGGACGCAGTCCTGGGCAGGGCGGAAGCTCAGCACCCCATCAGCAGCCCTGTAGGTGCCAGCCCTGGGTCTGCCTGGCTGGCACCTGACCATGGAGCCCTGGGGAAGGGGCATCTCCCTGACCGCAGCCAGCCCCGGTGACCCCGCTGCAGCTCAGAGCTTCATGAAGAGGCCACAGAGTGACATGAAGATGACTCGGGGCACAGGGTCTACTGTCCTGCACAGCACTCGGCTTAGGGACAGGGCTGGGAAGTGTCACATTCTCCAGCATCTGGGTCAGGGGCTGGAATGGGGGACAGAGCCCATGGGCAGGGCCTGGTAGGAGCCCCTGCAGGTACGGATGGGGGAAGAAGACTTGGCTGCCCTGCCATGCTGGGAGTGCGGGGCGGCAGTGCCCAGGCTTTCGTACTGGCCCCAGCCCCCAGCGCAGGAACCCAGTCCACCTTAATATCCTCCACGTGACGCCATCTGTGAGGGAGACGTCAGCAGGGCAGGGCTGTGCCGGGATCCTTAAAAAGCAGCAGCCTCAAGGGGCTAGAGAGGCAGTAGAGATGGAGCTGGACCCGGTGCGAGCCAGGGACGCAGCCCAGCGAGGAGTTCCAGCAGCAGGTGAAGGATACGGTCCGGAGGATCTGTGACTTCCTGAAGGAGCAGTGCTTTGAAGACATCAAGGTGGACAAGACAGTGAAGGTGAGGTCTCTAGACCCTCACCTACCCAGGTCCGGCCAGGGAAGGAAAGGTTGTCAGGGAGAAAGGGAGGGAGCTGTTGGCTTGGTTTTGCTGGAAGAGGTGGGTCCAGAGACTCACCAGTTAAACCTGGTTTGAGGTCCGAGATACCTCAGCCAGGACAGGCCAAGGGACGGGGTCAAAGCGGTGCTGGCACGCCATGCGGCAGGCCGAACAGACCTGATCCAAGCTTATTCCAGGCCCTCTCCAGGGAGAACATACCACTTAGTCTCGTAGTCCGCCCACAAGCCCGTAGCGGGGAAGAAGGGCTCAGTTCTGGCACTGAGTTTTGGCTCTGAGTGCTGCCAAAAGGCTTTGCTTTTCCTGCTTTGGAGAGGACAGACACAAGGAGGGAGGAGGGCAGAGGGAGGAAAATGCAGCGCTGGGTGGTGGGTTGCTGCGGCAGGGTGGGGGCGGGCGGCTGGCTCATCACTCCCGCCCTGGAGACCCCCTGGGCTGCTCTGGGAAGGTCCCGTCCCCTCCCTGGTTTACACGGGGGCGGGCAGAGCTGGCTTGGCTGACTCGGCACCCGGGCAGGATGAAATGGAAGAGGAGGGTGAGTGAGCAGGCTGAGACCGGAGGAAAGGCAGAACGGGGAGCTCTTCTGCAAGCGGTCGAGGTCCTCGCTGTCCCAGCAACTCCTG